AAAAAAGTAGAAAAGTCATAGTATAGTATGTCGAAAAAAGTAGAAAAAAGTCGTAGTATAGTATGTCGAAAAAAGTCAAAGTATAGTATGTCGAAAAAAGTCATACTATATGTCTACATTTTTTTTAAGTCATAGTATAGCTTAGCATGTCGGAAAAAAGTAGAAAAGTCATAGTATAGTATGTCGAAAAAAGTCACAGTATAGTATGTCGAAAAAAGTCATACTATATGTCTACATTTTTTTTAAGTCATAGTATAGCTTAGCATGTCGAAAAAAGTAGAAAAGTCATAGTATAGCATGTCGAAAAAAGTGAAAAAAGTCGTAGTATAGTATGTCGAAAAAAGTAGAAAAGTCATAGTATAGCATGTCGAAAAAAGTCATAGTATATGTCTACATTTTTTTTAAGTCTTTTTTTTAAGTCATAGTATAGCTTAGCATGTCGGAAAAAAGTAGAAAAGTCATAGTATAGTATGTCGAAAAAAGTAGAAAAGTCATAGTATAGTATGTCGAAAAAAGTACAAAAGTCATAGTATAGCATGTCTTCAAAAGTCGAAAAAAGGTCATAGCATAGTATGTCGAAAAAAGTAGAAAAGTCATAGTATAGTATGTCGAAAAAAGTAGAAAAGTCATAGTATAGCATGTCGAAAAAAGTGAAAAAAGTCGTAGTATAGTATGTCGAAAAAAGTCATACTATATGTCTACATTTTTTTTAAGTCATAGTATAGCTTAGCATGTCGGAAAAAAGTAGAAAAGTCATAGTATAGTATGTCGAAAAAAGTCACAGTATAGTATGTCGAAAAAAGTCATACTATATGTCTACATTTTTTTTAAGTCATAGTATAGCTTAGCATGTCGAAAAAAGTAGAAAAGTCATAGTATAGCATGTCGAAAAAAGGTCATAGCATAGTATGTCGAAAAAAGTAGAAAAGTCATAGTATAGCATGTCGAAAAAAGTGAAAAAAGTCGTAGTATAGTATGTCGAAAAAAGTAGAAAAGTCATACTATAGCATGTCGAAAAAAGTCATAGTATATGTCTACATTTTTTTTAAGTCTTTTTTTTAAGTCATAGTATAGCTTAGCATGTCGGAAAAAAGTAGAAAAGTCATAGTATAGTATGTCGAAAAAAGTAGAAAAGTCATAGTATAGTATGTCGAAAAAAAGTAGAAAAGTCATAGTATAGCATGTCGAAAAAAGTGAAAAAAGTCGTAGTATAGTATGTCGAAAAAAGTAGAAAAGTCATAGTATAGCATGTCGAAAAAAGTGAAAAAAGTCATACTATATGTCTACATTTTTTTTAAGTCATAGTATAGCTTAGCATGTCGGAAAAAAGTAGAAAAGTCATAGTATAGTATGTCGAAAAAAGTAGAAAAGTCATAGTGTAGTATGTCGAAAAAAGTAGAAAAGTCATAGTATAGCATGTCGAAAAAAGTGAAAAAAGTCATAGTATAGTATGTCGAAAAAAGTCATACTATATGTCTACATTTTTTTTAAGTCATAGTATAGTAAGTGGACAAAAACTAGCATCAGAGTTCCTTTAGAAAACCTCATATTATACTGCAGCAGGCTCCGGCAGTCTGCCCGTGCAGTCATGATTCCAATATGTCTCCTGTGTCCACTAAATTACGCTGTTATTGCCAGTATCCCAGGTAGGGACTCTCTGTTGCAGACCATTCGGAATATCATTAACTATTTAAGCAAAAGTCCAAACTATAGATTATGTGCTACTACCAGTGAGGGCATGTGTGGTACATAATGTGTCTTATTTGACAGCACTGTGGAAACATACAGTACATTTATGGATTAAACTACTTAAAGAAGAGCATACAGTCTGCTGAGTGTTGTGCATCTGCATACTTATTGAAACAACTACAAGTTCTTAGACTTTTCTTGTTGAGCATAACACATTTCTGTCAATCAGCCTCCTCGTTTTCCAACACCCCCCCCCTCCCCTCCTCCTCCTCCTCCTCCTCTGTGTGCACTAAAGCGAGGAGGAAATAATTTATTCATGACGCCCGGCATCTAAAACCAGTAGTTCTGACAGATTCTGATTCACAGGAATGAGGCGATATTATTAGACAACTATGCCCTGATGGGGCGACATTTTCAAAATCTCTCTCTCTCTCTCTCTCTCTCTCTCTCTCTCTCTCTCTCTCTCTCTCTCTCTCTCCATAGCAGCTACAGTGGCTCAGCCTGCTAAGGTTACGGCTGTCACTTTTTGCAAACATTTGCAGAACACAGCTGTGTGACATTGTGGATCTGGCAGATGACACATTCAGTAGAAGGTTGGCTATTCGAGAGTACACATAATTACACACGTCGTTAGTGATGGAAATATACTGGGTGAATCGTGGAGTTTCATAAGCCCTTTCGAGCCCTGCTGCAGTAACATGGCAGATTTACTCTGATAGTGTTTGTGAAAGATAATTAGTCATTCAGTTATTACTGAACCATTACTGACAGTCATTCTGGTCTAAGAGGATCATGAATTAGCTCACTGGTCTGATGATGAGATTCTTGGAAACCACTCAATCATCTGATGTAACCTGATGCAACACCATATATGGGAGAAGTGTCATAATGTCAGCTAAGTAATCCATTTGCTCCCAGTTCAGCATTTGACTTCAGCCATTTGGCATTGCACTTGCACAAGGTTGGGAGAGCGATTTTTAAAAAGAATGGTAACAATTGATGCATCAGAGGCAGAGATATCCTGACTTTCATTCCCTGCTATGGGTCAAGTTAGAAAAACGTCTCATAATGCAACTCAAAAGCATCTTTTGTTAGAATCTCGTAAATGTCTGCATATTGTAAACCCCATGTCCCAGTTTGTATTACAGGAGTTCTGTTATTCATTTGGAATAACTAAACCTAAGCCGAGATAACCCTGCTGACATCATCCCGGTTTCTCATGCTTTACAAAGTTCCTTCAGCGGGATGACGCCTAGAGGTAGAGCTCCTCTATGTACTGGGTCCTGGCGGCGGCTCTGGTTCGATTCTGAAACGCTGCTCTTTGCTGCATGATATCCCCCCTCAAAACCTCCTTGTTCCTCTCATCCTCCAGCTGGACTAATAAAGGCCTAAATATAATCCCTAACAATATCATACAACTGTAGTCACTGGCTTAGTACTCCGGATAAAGCCTAAACTGAATTTAATGGGTAAATTAGCTGGTGTTCCCCTTTAATCAGGGGTTTTAAACTCAAAGAACACAGTTTCATGCAGCCAACGGTGATTGCAGGTGGAAACAAGTGCGTACTTTGTTGTTCCTCTTTATCCCCAATGGAACATGAGGGCTCACTGAGGTTTATACAAACAAGTGAGTGCTGGCAGAATTATGCATGAGAACATGTTATTCTGGGAAAAGTTACATGAATATGATAACCCACACGGCATGAATATTGTAAACTGAAGGAAGCTTTTTAATAAGCCAGTGGATCAAGTGATATTAAAGGACAAGTGTGTCGATATTCTATATTTTTCTTTTTGTCAACAAATGAAGACCAAACCAACAATGAATTGAATCTGATTTAGCTTATTTTTCCAGACTATAGAGCTATAGAGGTATTTATTAAACATTGCTGTGCCACACTGTTGCAATGGGTGACATTTTTGCTTCATTACCAAGAGCATTGTGTTTTATTTCATATGAATTACTTGCACATCATCCTCACTACTCACTAGCATGAATCCACAGCTGAAAACAGTAAAACAAGTATCCAGCAGTTTTCTCGGCCTTGTTAAACATGAAAGTGTATATTTATGAGTTGCAATAGTGGGTTTTGGTCTTTTCATGAGAATAATATAAAAAAACATCCAACTTTTTTTTTTAATGTAGCTGGGAGCAAATGATTGATCCTTTAAAACATCTGGTACCATCACGGAGCATCATCGGTTCAATGTGTAGACCAGTTTAAGTCAGCAGTCCTCTTCATGGTTTACTTCAGAGGTTATTGTAGAAGGATACAATGTACTCGTTGGGGTATTTCCAATATGTGGGACTGACAAGCAAGGTGCAGTAATCTAAGACAACTCTACCCAAATACATATTAAAAACAAAAGAAAATAGAATAAACTCAAATAAGTAATATTTCAATTCAGCAGAATCCCCCCCCCCCGAAAAAAAACTGAAATCTGTTAAGCCGCATCCATTTCCATTCTCAGCAACGAGGATTTCAAAATGTTGTTGTTGCCACAAGAATATTTATGAAATATCTGTACGAGCGCTCCCAAACAAAACAAATGCGTAAAGCGCATCCCCGTGATAAATAATCCAAAGCTCGCAGACGATGAGGGAGACAGCCGTGTCGCTCTTCACACAAAAGAGATTCTGTTTAACTCTCAAGCAGAACTCAGACACTGTGGGCGGAGACAAATCAATCGAGTCAACCTAGAGATGGAAGCAATGAGAACCGCGAGAGGCTTTGATTATTGTAATAGACTTAAGTCAGCTCTGCGAAAGCCACTTCATACGTCGTGTTTATCAAATCCAAAATGCATTTGCACCACATTCTCCTGCACTTGTAGCTGAAAAATTAGTAGAGGCACCGGTTCCACAGATTTTTCAAGAAATTTGACATTTTGATAAATAGATGCATTTTCAGAAAGCCACAATTCAATCTGAGCGACACACAATTCATTGAATTGCAGATGTCAAGAGCTTCAGTGAGTCAACAAAGCTGTCTGGGACCGATTAGCCTTCGTCCACTTTTTCCGCAGCTGAGGAACAGCTAACAGGAGCGGCTGATAATACAGGATTTAGATAGCGCCCTGTGTTTCAGTCCATAGCAACCTGCATGTGTGAGCGCTCAGTCAGGGCTTCTCAAAAGGAGGGCTGTGCAATAACTTGCATCGGCAGTTGCGCCTCACAGCCTGAACTATTCAGCATGGAGTTGCAAAAGTATCAGTTGTGTTGCAAAATAAACACATGCAACAAGGGAAAGGCTTACGATTACACACACTGCAGATAATGATGGCTCATGTTTTGCAATGGTGGAGCCATGTGTGTCAGGTGTGTGTGTGTGTACATAGAGTCAATGTTTGGGAGCCTGACCAGAAATACAGACATCAGGTCCAGTGGGGGAAGAAGCGTAGAACTACCGTAACATGATTTACAAGTACACCCATGAGCTCAGTAGATGGTGCTGCTCATCTCTGGAGAAGGCCGCCCCCCCCTCCTCAAATATAAAATGTCAAGTTCAATCAATCATCTTTAACCGCTTTTTGCCTAGAAGTTAGACAAGTCCACAGGTTATCTTTTTAAGGGTTTTTTATTCAATAGATGAAAAAAGGTCTTTACAGCATCCTACTCACACATATAACTAAGTCACCCTGATGATATGCATGTGACAAGCTGTGTTGGATCTGAAGCAGGCAGAAACGCAGTCTGCAATGAACCAGTATTCATATAAAGCCGAGCATCAACAGCGTTAGCACTGCTTTGCATATAATGCCGCCACGTTACATAACAAGCAGGCAATCGAGTTGCAGAGGTCTCTTCTACGGGATTGGCACTCTGGAGGCTTAATGACTGAAGGTCTCCAAATCACTCATCATACACTGGAGACATCTTATGTTAAACAGGGACTTCAGATAAAAGATAAAATAAAACACCCAGCATTCACTCGGCTCTAGATAAACAGTTTTCATTTGGTGGCAAAACATAAAGAATACATTTATATTCACTGCAGTGAACATCAAAAGGAAGGCTTTTAAGCTTTGTTGCCATCTTGTTAATCTTTTTCAGAATAGCAGACATAAAACCAACGTAGGAAGTGAGTTTCTTTTTTTATTATTATTTATTTTACAGACTGAACAGCTACAATTCAGATACAAAAATTTGGAGATGTGTACTTTATTAAGTACAAATAACAAATAACACTTGAAGGACGCCATCGAGCACAAAAAAAGAGAGAAAGGCAACATTTGTTTTTGTGGTCTCGTAGCTGCTGAATGCGGCCAACGTTGTCAATCAGGATTAAACAGCTCAAGTTTGATTATTAATTGTGACTCATTAAGTAGTTTGTGAATGTAACATACATGCATGTGTGTTGAGCTTTTTGGGGAATATGTATATCTGCATCTGTGTATTAGCAAAGCTTCTGTGATAGTAGAGTGTGCAAGGCTAGCATGTGAGTCGTGTAGCAGTGAAAGGTGGAGGAGGTCAGTGGATTTGGCCAGACTGTGGCTCAACACTGGACTCTGCCGTGGCTTCAGCCTCACGGTACATTTTGCTGAGGTGCTTGACGAGGCTCTCCAGTTGAGGGTTTCCCCCAAACTCCCGGATGAGGCGGTAGACCTCTGCCTCCAGGTCCCGCAGAGTCTGACGGGTGTAGGCAAACGAGCCCACCTTCTCCAGGTAGTCCACGCAGTATCGCTTGATGTCCATGTTCTCCGTGCGCTGCCTCAGGATGTTCTGCACCTGGGTGCTCTCCGGATGAGACGTTATGGCATGAATGGTGGGGAAAGAGAACTTGCCCTCGGTCAGGTCCTCACAGAAGCTCTTGTTCTCGCTGTATTCGAGGGAGATCAGGTTCGCGTAGTCGTCGCGGATCTGGAAGAACAGGCCTAGTGCGTCCAGGAGCGGTTTCAGTTCCTGTTTCCAATCCGAGAAGAGCTGCATCAAGCCCACGGCCAGGCCAAACAGCCCGCCGGTTTTCTGCAGCACCATGTTGCGGTACTGCTGCTCGGTGGGACAGGTGTAGGTGTCCCTCCAGTGGATGTCCAGGCCCTGACCACGGTGCAGCTCCAGCAGCTGCCGGGTAAACATTCCGACGGCCTCGGGGTGCTCCAGGGTCAGCACCTTCTCCAACCCCAAGAAGTAGACGTAGTTGGCGGAGTTGATGACGGAGGGGATGCCGTAGATGCTGTGGGCCACGGGGAAGCCCCGCCGCAGCTTGGAGCTGTCCTCGATGTCGTCTATGAGCAAGCTGGCGTTGTGCAGCATTTCAGTCACCTGGATGATCACCTGAAAAACAAATGTGATCATTACACGAGAAATTAACAATGTGTATTTTGAGAATTATTGTGCAGTCGCCTCCGCTTTTCCATTTCATAGTAAGTCATGCCTTCATGTTGTGCTGTGCAAACTTTTAGGAACTGTAACAACGATGCTTATGCTGATAAAAACTTCCTTCTCCTACTCCCGACTCGTAAGACAGACAGGAACAGGTTATCTGGGAGCTCTGAGTAAATTATGCATTACAACTGGTATACAGCAGAGGGTGCCATGTGTACACTCCTGTCAGCAGAAAAAAATTGTTGAAACAAAGCAGGCAGTCAATCGGAGAGAATGAAGAGTTCAGCAAAGATAAACTCTGGACTAGAGCCCTTTCACATTCACAGATAGACAGGACCGCGGATTTTATCTGGTCTGCTCTGAGAACTCGGATGTCGTGCCCAAGAGAGAGCAACACTTTTCACTATTCACATAGTTAGGAAATTACAGGTGACAATACTAAGCTTAGCGCACGTTCACCTCCTCCAAAGAGAGACTGATGTGGGCTGTGTACTCTTCCGTAGCCATATATGACGAGTGTATTGACAAGCTCCAAAAGCTTTATTACAGTAGGACAATCAAAGGCTACGCTGACAATGAACAGATTGGTGAACAGCCATGGTTAGTGTCCTCTGTCCACCAGCAGGAAGCCATTTTCAATATCCAAAAATGGCTTCGTTTCAGGCCTACGTCTGACACTAAACAGCCAGGGTCTGCTGTCTTAAGCTGGCCGTGCAGCCTGCTGTAGTGTGCCGCTGATTTAAAAGACAAGTGGTGTGGCCTGGTAATGAAAGCTGTTTGTATGGGGCCGGGGAGCACAAAGAGAGACTCAGTGAGTCCGGCAGATGGCCAAGGCCGGGCCAGTTGAGCAGTTTATCCGCCAAACGCAACCTTTTCTTCGGCAGGGTCCCGACACTTGCTCACCCTGCAACCTCAGTGAGCCACTTACAAGAGAGGGGGGGGGGGGGTAAAGCTACAATGAATGCACACATGAAGGGGAAAATGGAATATTGCCAAAAACTTACTCAAGGATTCAACGGCTCATTGCAAAAAGTGGTCTCTATGAATTAAAACTCCCTGCCAGGAAAAAAAGGACGAAGGGCACAATCATCAGATAAATACAGCAGTTATCAAACCGAAAGACAAGCGGCAGCATTTCTTTAAGTTCTGGACTTTGAGTGTCTCCAAGTAAAGAAACGAGTCAGACTGTCGCTGTATAATGCCGCCATTTAAGTGCTGATTGCCTTCACAGCTCCGCAAGACCTCATTGATTATCACCAGCGGTAACTGATGCAGAAACTCACTTTGTTTGCCGAAGCTACAATCAGTGATTCATTAGGAAAGCTTCACAACAAACAAGTGCACCGAGTCCAATATATTGAGGGGGAACAACTCTGAAACAGACAAGTCAGTAATGTGCATGAACCTGTCTCTCTCACACATACACTGGCAGTGGTTAGTGCCGACAGTCGTCCCTCTTAGTCAGCCTGCAGGGCTGTTGATGATGTCTGGCCAAGGTTTTGACATGGCCATCCCACACGATACACCACCACGTCTACTGGGTTGTGTCATTCAAAAATGCTTTCTTATTCATCAAGAACACATACAGCTAAATATGGCAGATGTCCGACCAGTTTGATTTAGGATTTATGGTTATTTAAAATCTTGTTTGTTGATGCTGTGTCCCCATTTGTCTTCATCAATTGACTTGTATTGTTTTTGATGGTGTGTGGGGAAACCAGGATAATCATAGTCATCATAAAACTAAAACATACATTCATACATACATACATACACACACACATATATGCTCTTTTAATGAAATAAAACAGGAGGAGCTATTTCAACAAGGTCCTATATTTAATGAGTGTGGTTGTTGTTTATAATTTCATATACTAACTAAATTAATCACGAGATGATGCGTCAGGACCTGTCTTGCTAACTACTGCAGCTAAACCATTTCCTGGGGAAACCCCTGTGATAGAAATGTATTAAGAATGTAGCGTCTAGCCTGGTCCAGGTTTTACTGCTGTACAATCTGCTGTTGTCACAACTTCTAATCTGCTTTGTGTAATAATAACCGTCACATTACAGGCTGTATCCAGATGTTTGACCGGTTTAAAAAGGGATAACTTGTATTATTATACTATCCAGCAGTTATGAGTTGCTCCATTTCATATTTGAAGTGCCAACCCTACAATCCAGTTTCTCATTATTTTCTGATGGAGGCAGCTACATTAGAGTCACATTCAAACCTCTAAGTATGCTCTGTCCATTTCAGATACCAAAGTCCACATTTGATGAATGAGACCAATTGTTTTCTAGATTCATTTGGCAAGGGAAATGTCCAATAGTCAAATTAAACTTTGCCTCTTTCTAAAAACGGCAGGAGGACGAGGACTCCCCTGATTCTGAGATATTGCTAAAGGCCAGCGCAGACACAAGCTCTGACAGCACGGATCTGTGAACCGACAGATACACGATGGCTTAACGTTGACATAAAGCCAATGACAGCAACCTCTAGCTTCCCGCTCAAGATGGTCCTCTTGACAATACAGGACGGCATTTGCTCAAAAACAGAAATGTACCGGTTAGCCTAGTATTGACACATTTAACTCCAGGTTTATTCCGCCGTCTTTAAAATGATGCAGGGTTCATGATGAAGTATCTCAGCTCCATTACAGGTGGAGTCTCCACCCATCACTGCTGACGGTACAATAACGTCACCTGGTCTCTTCTTGTTAGACATCATTAGCACTGCTATGTTTCTTTAACTCACAGACCCCCTCTACAAATAAACTCCTTCTTAGTGTTATGTGTGACACACGTGTAATTCAAGTACGTTTACTTAAGTTGTGGCAGTTACAATGCTCACTAAAAACACTCTTATATGAATATGCTCTACCTCTGGAACAATTTCAAAATAATAAAATAAATTAAATAATAAACTAAACCAGAAAAAAAGTTTCCTCCGACAAGCATAGGTTCAATTGGAAACTTCACATCCTCCCAACCAGAGACACGTAAAGTAACAATAATGTCAGGAAGTAAAGTGACTTTTTTTATCAACCTGACAAAATTACGTTCTTGTGGGAAGAAAAGAAAAGAAAAGGCAACACTGTAGCTTCTTTACATTCTAATAGAATGTAAAGAAGCTACAGTGTATAGAATGATTCTATTGAAGTTATTCCTTTTTTAAATGTTTTAGACGAGTCACTAATCACTTTAAAAGAGTGATTATAGCTGATTTAACTTACAGACATGAGATTGATCTTCTCATGTCACTCTCTTTATACAATGATATAAATTCATCCCCGTTTTATTGACATCTTACGAAATATTACTCCTCATTTTTCGTGCGTTTTTCCTGCAAAAGTCCAGCAACACGAGTCTGTCTTTTCAAAATAAACTTCCATCTTCACAGGAAACAACTAAGGTTTATAAGATTCAAAAGATGGTCCGAATATGAACTCGATTATCTTCACCTATTGTGCGATTGGAATAATTGAAAGACATTTGAACAATTAAGAGAATGATTTATCCTCCCTAAAACTAAAAGTATTTACAATTGAGATATTTTTAACAAAACACAAAAGACGTATTCACTGCAGATCTTAATAACTACAGCAATGACTGTGAGCAACTATTCTATCGATTGGTGAAATCGTGTGAGCCACGCGCACACAATGTGTGGACCCAAAAAATGGAGATAACTTACTCTCTAAGGTAACAAAAGATTAAATGTGTTAAGAGATGGAGTCCTCGTATGATCTGACCTCATGGCCTGACCGAAGCATTTAGAACTACTATACTCTACTATCCAGACGGGCTTGTTCATGTAGTGATAACACCAACTTACCCATCCTATCTATTTGTATTTGCTATGAATCCAATTGGTAAGTATTTCTGTATTTCTTTTAGGTCACTTTTATTGTCATTTATTAGAAATGTTTTTTTCTAACACCTTATTTTTCTATTTAACTTACTGTCTATTTATGTTTCACTTACTCGTATGTTATGTATTTATGCAAACTGTAATGAAAAATGTGATTTATGTGAGAATAAAAACAAACTGAGGCAGCAGACGCTGTCACGAGTGACTAGTGCTTTCACGGTAAAAGACAGAAGACATAATATAAAAGTATATCAAAGCTAAGCTTTCCACATCGTCACAGAGAACAGAAGGAAGCCAGTCCGCTGAAGGTCGCAAGGCCGCTGAATTCCCCAAACCTCCACCAACAGTTCTGTAGTGAAGTGCATATGTGGGGTTTGATTTAAAAGAATAATAATAATTGTCAACTGAATGAGACAGCGTGGCACTGCTACTGCCTCCATCTATCTGAAGGCACGGTTGTTTCCATGGCGGAGACTTCTTGGCAGCAGTGTGCTAATGATGACAAGAGGAGTGCTCTCAGTCTGAGAGGGGTTCAGCGGGAGTTTACAGAGCTGCTACATGGAGGGAGACAGAGGGGGAGACAGAGGGGGAGAAAGCTCTTTGATATGCCAAACAAGGAAATTCTGTCTGAAGATGAATTTGTTTTTTTGGGGGATTTGGTTACAATCTGCATATTAGTGTCGGCCATACGAACTGCCAACTTATCAGAAACTGATCAGTCAAACCCAAAACTCTCAGGAGTCTTCTCTAGCCTCCAGGAGCACATGTGCTCCTGAAATGATAATGTCAGCACTTCACAGACAAGAAACGTAGCAAAAATAATCAAAAATGAATGCTGAGTCGCTCCTTTTATTCCTTTCGTAAATTGAATGAATTCATTTGAAGACGCGCAGCTCACTGTATTGGTAGCAGAGTGAAGGCTGTGATTAAATATGTGACGTGACAGAACTGATTACCAATATTAAATAATTCGTCAGACGAGACTGACAACTTCATTACTCACCTAGTCTGTTTTTTACTGAGGACTGACACCAGTCGTCTCAGAGGGGGAGGACTGTTATTGTGCACTGGGAGGTGAATCGACCACAGGAGACAGAGTATGACCTCTGAGCTCTGCTGCAGGACTATGAATCCTCTGCTCGGGGAGGGTTTATAAAACATTCAGGACAAAGGGAAACCTGTTGAACAGCAAACCTAATGAGACCTGACAGGCTCAGTACTTAGCATTCTGCACTGCAAAAGGCATGTCGATTCAGAAAATACAGTCTCCATCCTATCATTACTGGACAAGTATTCAGCCATTGAAACTGTAATGTTATCAGTATAATAAGGTCAATGGCCTGATCTCCCTAGAGTGACAGTGGCGAGGGTCCTGCTCAATAAAACCAATAAATCCTAAATGGCTCATTTGAAATTAATCTGACTGAGGAAACGCAGGAATGCCAATCAGTCCGCTATCTGTACATGCACTTCAATATGTCTGTTGGAATTGAATCAGGCAGCATCCAAGAATGTGTGACAACAACAACACTGTAATGGATGGATGAGAGGAGGCGTACGTCTGTTAATCCTTTGCTCACAGAGGTGATCAGGAGGAACACATGAAGTCTCAGTGGCTACGGTGGATTATGTTTTAACATACACAAATAAACAATCCCTAAATGCTGCTGAATATTCCCCTCTCACTACCATTCAGCCCACCATCTGGAATACACTGTACAGTAAAAGATGTGCTACCATGACCTACATGTTCTCATTCAACAAGCTAAACCTGAATACTGAATTCTTCAAAGCTAGACAGGTCATCATACTCACTGTAGCAGCAGCATCCCACTTCCCAAACACAGTGTTGAATGCATTTTATATCGTGTAACACAATGAACAAAATCTCCTGGTAACTAGCTCCATTATACTCATTGGATTAGAAACAACAGCGAATGCAACAGATGTCATTTTGTATGCAGTGATTAGCATCATGTTGGTGTTTTTCTTTTTCGATCAAACTTAAAAGTGCAAACCTAATGACATTCTGAGCACTCAGACAACAAATAGCAGTTGATATGAATGAAAATTAAAATAGTGTTTTTCAGTAAATTTGGCCACACACATTTTGGCAGTTAAGCTTTATACAAACGGATTTTTTAAAATAATTTTGCACCTGTCGCTAGGCAAGTCCCTAAAACCAAAACAAGTCATTATTTTAGTTACGGACACTATAATCTGTCAAAACATACCAATATTATAAACAATAAACAAAACAAACCACAGTTGAGGCAAAATCCATCATGATTAGAAGCAATCTGCAACTCTTTAAAAGCAGAAGTGGGAGAGGATGGAAAACCTATAATCTGGCAAATATTCTGTCTCCCATCTTCTTGGGTTCATGAAAACTTATTTTGAAAACCTTGATGCATGTATTGGCTAGCATTATTTTACTTTCCTTTCCTTTTGTTTTTTATTTCTTTTAAACAGTTTTGTAGAGATGCACCGATACTGATATCCCGCCGTTACAGACTCAACGGTATTTGTGACAATGACAATATATTCACTTCAATTCTGTTTATATACTAATATACTGAGTTGGACAAACTCCAAGGTGCAACTTTTTTAAATTTGAGCAAAAAAGACCAAAAAAAAAGTGTCTTCAAAACGACATGGATTGATCTTGTCTATGAGCTGAAGAAACAACGTTGGCCGAAAAAAACGACATCAGAAAAACTTCCCTCAACTAAATGTCTTAACCTCCTAAACAAACGTCTGATAGACGTCAAAAGGTTTGATGCGTATAAACGGCTATATCCCCCTAAAGTCTGGACCAATTAAAAAGGTTTACACTGTCTTGCACCATTATTTTTTAAAGATTTACCAAGTTTGCTGGTGGACCATTTATTACTTTGATAATAAAGATCCATACAGCAGCCGTGTACCCATGTATACAGTATATTTGTAGAATTTTGTGTTACAAAGTTAGGAAAGCGATGTCCAAGTCAAGCCTGATGTTGCCTTACATATAAAAGAATGAACCCAGTGACTTGCATAAAGTGAGGTATACAGCTTATTAATTAAACACTGGTATGGGATCGGTAGTCGGTATCGGCCAATACCCAAACCACGTATTGCTATCAGCACTGAAACACTGAAGAAGGCAACATCAGATGCCCCGATCTCACACAGCTTGGTATCGCATCAACTTTAGTCCAAACATGCAAAGCCTGTGAAGGACTTGGTTGTTCCTCCAGATGGCTAAAAAGCCAGAGCAACACCAGACCTTTTCTGATTGCTCTGCTTTACAAAATAAGTGATGTGGGCCGCTATTCAGAGGTCTGCAACAAGCTGATGGACCGTGCCTTTAAGCAGTCAAACCCCAGATTCATCTTTTAAAAACAGTTAATCGATTGACTACATGTAATGATAATGGGGTAACTAGTGCTGTAGTAACCTCCTGTAATACATCATGGATGCTCTAAGCTCTACATCCAGGCTTTACATTTACATTCAGTTAGAAACAACTCATCTGACACAAACTCTGGTTGCATTACAAAATAAATTGCCTGTGAGCACAGCATGATTCCACGTTTCTGGACCTGTCCACAACAACAAACATCAGACAACGCTGAATGTTAAGCGGCTTGAAATGACCGATTCCTCACCTGCAGTTTGTCGTCTGGAACATTCAACCAGTGGTTAAATGCTTGCGATAGTTTCGTCCTCACCTGCTTTCCTGAGAAGAGTGCGGAAAAACAAAAGTGTAAGTTTTAAGAGTCAAAGACATGTGCATGAGTATGAAAAGGAAAATGTAAGTGCATCCTTCACAATGATTATTGTTGCTTTTGTCACTGATATTTTAAAATGCACACTTTGTTGAAGTCTATATTAACACAGCTGGTGGGTGGTACCGAATTCCAAGAGAAGCCGAACCAAACAAACCAAAAAGAAAACTACGTTGTTTTAGAACCGGTGTTTTATGTCATAATTTCTGCCGCTATAACTACAGGTAATGATAGATCTGACTGTAAGTACAGGTGTGTATTCCGTTAAGTGAGTGTTGCTTGGATGTATTCTTATGGCGTGGACGACAATATTTTAGCTTTATTCTTTTGGTTGTAACCCCGGCGGTGTGAAACGGACTAAAAAAGAAATATAAAAACATAATTTTGAATCAAAGCGGTAAGAAGGTATCTTCCTCTAAGCAACACTTTCATTTAATAGATTACACACATGTAATTAAGTCAGATTTATCATTCTCTAGATGGGCAGTGATAGTTTAAATCTTCTGATTTATACAATCATAGTCTGCCATTTATAAACATTTGTTAGTTTAAACTGTGGCTTTTAGTCTAAATAATACTTTAAACTTCTTTGTCCTATAGATATGTTTGCCAAAACTGTAACAAAAACACAAAAGGTTTAAAAGACTGGAATTTTCCTTAAATAATCTTATGAGCCTGAATGGCACAGTGACACTGAAAAAGAGGAAACATCCAAACTTACGGAGACCCTAAGGACTTGTCCTATTTACCCAAAATGAAGCTCTCATGTTAGGTCAGTCACTTCTCCACTGACAAAAAGTGACCAATCAAAGCTGAAGAACCAAATAAAGAAGTCTCCTGAACAGCAGCGAGTGTGCACTCAGGACATATTACACAAAAAGGGATTTTAAACAATGATTCACAGCTTGCGGATTTCTGGGTATTAAAATTCTAAAACAGTTTCATTTTATTACCATGTTGCATCATGAATGTGTGAAATACCGCCTCATATATAAGAACACTAGATTACCAATATGACAAATCGATTACTAATATGCCGAATGTTTAAAAACATTGCCTACCAAATCTGCAATAAAATGGAAACCATATTATTTAGGCATGAACAACGTAGCCCAACATCTTTTAAAATTCTGTAGCTGCAAACAAATAGTTGCTATGTAAAGATATAGTGGAGTAATGTCTACCTGAGCAGAGAATAAAGTTGCTCTTCCTCTTTGTGTGTTGTAGTTCGAGCTTCTCTGTGCTTCGTTTACATAGAAGGACCGGCCGCGCATGCCTTTTAGTGCATGCGAGCGTGCCCCACTAGCTGCAGCTTTGCACTGAGCTCAAACAGTGGTTGCAGCCGATAACGTCGTCCCGACCGACACACTCGGTTCCCCGTCAGGTGAACACCGTTAGCTCCGTCAGCACTGTTAGCTCAGAGCTGCCGGCTCAGCCATCGCCATGTTGAAGCCGTGGGAGGCAATCCCTCGGCTCTGAATATCGAATTTTGCACCTTTAACATAGTGAGAACATATGCTGCTCCCAAATTAGAAATTTGTAATATAAGTATTACATTGCTCAGTTGTCGTGATCGTGTTCAAAATGCATCGTGTAAAACATAAAGTAGTTTGGTTAAAAACTGAACTGAATACATCAAAATGGAGGAATTTAATACCACAGAAGTAAATAACACCAGGTATTAGACTGGATCAACACAATGAAAAACTTTCATCTTGCATGCACTGCATGTCCGCTGTGTGTACACTGAAGCCTTTCACCATACTCATTATTTTAGGCATGTTGCTGATGCTGTGTGACTAGCAGTAATTGAGCAGGTCAGGGCTCAGTGTAGCTCTAGGACTCATCACCAGTATATTGCTTTCAATGACCTTTTAGCTGCATGTCTGCATGCCTCCACACATGTCTTGTCCACCTCTCTGCAGTCACTGACATGGAGAAAGACACACCTGGTAGTTGCAACAAGTACTTGTATGGTTCCAGCAGAATTCGCTCAGAAGCAGCTTCCGAGTTGCAATCCATTTCTTCTGGTTTACACAAATCTGTATTGGAGGAAAAAGAACATTAAAAAGTTAAACAATTGACATCGTCTCAACTGACAATATTGCAGAAAGGAGTGTTGACATGACGGGAACAATGTCAGACTTGAAGGGTATCTTAGTGTAAATGACATCAGAGACATAACTGCAAAATGCTGCTACACACTTAGCAGCTTAATACACATGGACTGTTTGGGTATTTATTAGTGCATTTGTAGTTTTACCCCTTTGTTAGACTTTTCCTTTAAATAAGCACCTAATTGAGACACAGGAAATGCAAAGAAAAATGCAAAAGGAATGCTAACTCAAACAAAACCAGGAAATAAAAAGTTTTGACAAATCTAAAAAAAATGGATTCATGATGTAATGCAATGTGTCAGATGCATGTGCTGAGCCACGAAATCCCCTTATGCATCGTTACACGCTGATCACATGATTGGATAAGTTAAAACAATCACATTCCTGGTGAATCACAGAAACGCGTGATGTAGCAATAAAAATAGAAAGGTTGGGTTGTCTGTGACAGCTAGTGATCATCATAAGAAATATCCCTCACAATCACTCAAATAAAAATCACTTATTCATTGCATAAGAGAGCAGTTGAGGTTTCATTTCATAAAAAGTCCTCGACAAGATCATTTAGATTTTGTCACATCAGAGACATCTATCAAAAAAGTGTAAAACCTCTACCGTGAGAAAATGATATATATAAAAAGTTACCATTCACTGTAGCTCTGCTTGTGAACAAATACTGACGTGAAGCCTCACATTATAATCAAATTATCAGACTGCAAAGATAGTTTCCATCATATAACACAATGCTGCAATCCATTTCAACCAAGAGACGGTACAATGGTATACGAGGAAGACCGTCACATATTATGTATCATCATGGCTTATAAACAGCTGACACCATAGTATGTGGATAGTTACTAGTTTAATGGCACTGTACCATCTAACACAGCCCTGCAACTGGTAATTGTGTGCAGTGTAATTACACCTTTTACATTATTTAATATAACAGATATATCAAATAAACACTTATTGTCATATTGTCTGCAACAAGTGCCTAACTAGAATTATCATAACCTAGGTTGTTTAAATGGAACCATTACTAAGTTAAATTATATGTATATTTCATACTTGCAATTCAAAATGTTGTGATATAGAAATTCAGCCAAAGAGGTAATGTAGAGTTAAAAGTTAAATTTAAAGGAGGGACAAGTTCTCCCATCATGTTGCCAATGTGCATACTTTTAATTCTGAATTTGAACGACAAAATTAAATAATTTAGATTTACACAGTGACCCAGATTACACATACATAGCGGAGCTTGAAAACTAAAATGCTGCTGTAACATTTAACACAACAAACCCTCCAGAGCTCTTAACTCCACCCACCTGGCTGCTGTCAGTCTGCTGATGCCGGTCCTGTTTTCCTGTTAGCCAGGCTGCTAGTTAGCTAGCATTAGCAGGCTAACATAAAGGCGACAATAAACCAGTTCAGCAATTTCTTTCTTTTTCAAAATAAAAAACTTCCACTTCAAAGTTGGACGACTAAGGCACACGATATGACTGTCAAATCCACACTTTCACATTATTGTTAGGTCCGTGTGTTACTGACCAATTCACAGGATGCTATGCTAAGCTAACGCCGCTATTATTACGCACTATACAGACACTTTTCAACACGAGCTAGTTGTAATGAGCTACCTATATATGCTTCGGTGTCGGAACAGAGCACGCGCAGAGTAGGTGGGGTGCCTCGCGCATTGTGTGTTGCAGTTGCATTTCTACATTGCCCGGTAAAAGCTTCCGGCCTGTGATGAAATTGGAGAAACACACATACGTCCTGCCGGGACGGCCTGTAATACATATCGAACACACACGTGTTATAAAGCTGGGGGTTGTAGTTTTTCTCTCTGTATTGTGAGACCAAACCAGTAGGACGAATTCGTACATTTTACCGTGGATATTTTCTCCTCGATCAGCCAATCATAAACTTCTAAGGTGTTTCCCCCTCGCTGAGCAATCCAATGGGCGAGTGTAGTTTGAGGAGAGGCGGGATTATACGACTGTCAATCATTATCAGGAGGCGGGGCATCACAGAAAGAGCTCGAGGAGCTACTCAACAACAGCAGCGCTCTGCGAAACCACTTTTACCATCAACATCCACCTACAGACGACGTTAAAACCTGTCAGATGTCTCTCATAAATGTTCATATGGATTACTAATACACCTTCGTCGAAAAACAGAGGTGTTTCTCAACTTGACAGCATAGGTAAGCCTGCTTTTGTTCGGCAAAACCATCGCTATTTTGAACATTTTCTTTACTAGCTTGCGTCTCTGCTGCCATCGAGCCAACCTTGACGTTAGCTAACTTGTTAACTAATGCTGTGATGTGTTTAGGGTTTTTTATGAAATTAATGAATTAGGAGACTCGACAGCACAAAACTGACGGCCGAGATTACTAAATAAACTTAATCAGATGCATAATAAAGTTATCGTCAGCCACATTAATCCGATGAGCACGGTGAAAGGCTGTGCTGCTCCGGGGCTGAATAGTTTCTCCGGAGTGTTGTGTTGTTGAGCGGAGGAATCCTCGACGAGCCTGTCATGGTGTTTCTTTATAGCCGTCTGAAGTGAGATTACACGAAACCATCAGAGACCCGTATATACGATCGACATCGCTGCAGGATGTGATTAGTCGATCAGCGACCAAACGGCGTAGTTTAACAGGTAAATTGCATCGTCAGGCGTTTCTTTTGTGCCACCAGTACCATTAGCTCCTCACTAAATACTCGTCCAGTGTAGGTTGGACCAGACGGGCTATATTGTATCTTGTACGGAGGAATTCACGCGTTTATCTGACCATATGCGATGTGGACTAGTTCCCCCCTGCTGGATAGGACGTTATTCTCAGTGTGTGTGTGCGTGACCAATATTTTGCACGTTTCCGTAACTGGCAACCCCATCGCTGACAAACTGTCTGGGCAGGACTCCGTACTGAAGAGGGTTTAAATGGACTCGATGCTGTAGTTAACTACGGCACCAGGGTTGAAGAGCAGCGGGGAAAGACGACCGAGGCTCAGGCGGTGTATGTGCATTTTTATTTAATTTGTGGTGGTCAATCATTCAGTTGCAGCGGCTGGTCTAGCAGCTCGTCTGGGCGGATGACATTATATCCTCCGCGATCATTCAGCCACAAACGAGGGCTGCGACCTTCTGCTTTAACGATGAAACCTACTCGGTGTTAACGCGATGTCGCTGTGTTACGAGTCCTCCTCGAGCCTTGACCTTGTTGCGAACCGTTTTTCATCGACTTGTTTCTTTGTCAGAAGCGACCCCACTCCTCGTCACTTAGTGAGCAGTCAGCGAAACGAGGAGAACATTGTGTGAGGATAGAAAGTGAGTTTTAGCCGCACGGCCCGATACTCACTTTGTTCAACTTGACGCTGTTATTAGCACCGTATGATATTTCTATAACGGTGTGGTTTAGCGGCTAAAAGATTAATTTTATTATCGCTCTCTCCTCGCTGTCGAGTGCGTGCTCCTCTCCGCAGAGAGAGACAAGGGGAGAGAAGCGAAAACGAAAATGAACGGTCTCGAGGGGCATTTTTTCTGTAAAAAAGACGACAGAGAGACGAGTCTCTCACGGGTTGCAGGTGAATGGCGACCACCGTTCTCGCAATTTCCACTGTTTGTTCGCTGAAGTGCTCTCTTGGTTTCCTTTTTTTTTTTTGCCGACTTGTCCGCTACAGAAATGGCGTCATCCTCTGCTGTGGTGTTGGGTTAGTCAGTGCAGCGCAGACAGACAGCGAGCACCACGCTGCCGTGCTCGAAAGAACCGAGGACATCACTGTATATCTATCACTTTATCCTAAACCACTTGGTCATGCGTGCATTTGAGGGACTGGTAACTAGTTACTTCAGTGTTTGCTCGCCCTGCGATGCCACAAGCAAACTGTGGCTGCTGACTACAGAGGCGTTACATAAACGGCTTTAAGGGCTCTGCGAATGAGAGTGATCAGCAGCCTGCCACGGTTTACTTTGCAACACAGATATCTTTGGGGGGGGGGGGGGCTCTGAAAGCTCGCGCACACACACCATCAACACAATGCATTAGCCAGGATTATTTAAGGAAATTATCTTTAAACTTTTCTTGAATCAATTTACAACCTAAATGAAAGCCCACGCTCCCTAAAAGGAGATCTAATGTGTGGAGACAATGTTAAAGTGTGAGGGTCTGCCACCCAGACTATTATTTTGTTTTCATGGCATCCAGCAATGAAGCAGAAGAAGTGATGTCATCATAACATAACCGTGCCTTGTTGTGGCAGACTGAAGTTAGCACCCTCTGTAATGTCTCAACAGCTTCTTCCACCTCTTGTTTCAGCCTCCGCTTCGTTCCACGGGTCACCTAGAGGACTCATCGAGAGATGAAGGTATGTTCTTTACCTTTTCTTGCATGTGTTTAACGCCACTGGAGCACTACACCCCTTCTGCACTCTTAGCCCAATTACATTTAACTCCTGCATAAGCAAGCTTTAACCAGGCACATCAAACATAAAATGACAAATGTAATATCGTTATTCATCCCTTTTGTTGTCATGAATAAGGCTGGTGTGGACTTCTACTAAATGTCAATGTTGGTCTTAATCAAACACAGTGAGGCAAGTGTTTTGGACACCGGCCAAAGTAAAACGTTTATTTCATAAGCATGACATTGAGGGTCTCTAGCTGTATTTGCAAACGCATATTTGGAGATTTAATGTTGATGTTGTGCTTTGTTATGCAATGTTATTGAATTACATGCTGAGATAGGGCCTGGGCATGTAGTGGCATATGTGATATTTATAAACTACGTTCATAGAGAGCTAAAAGTGTGGTGCGCAATTATATACGAATGACTGATGATATATGAAAAGCTGTGAAATTTACAAATCATCAAAAGCTCTGGCGGTGTTTTCTTCGGCCCTACTCAATTTAAAGAAGTCCCGGCTCTGTTCGTTTGGTAAATGTTCTGCGGTGCAAACTTTCTTATAGTTCCAATGGATCAACAAAGTTGTGTCTGTTGTTATGCCTGCAGGCTGCCGTGGTGTCGTTTGTTACCACATAAGCCAAACGTAGAGTCATAACACGCATGTGTGTGTGTCACTTTTTGATTAAATTTACGACCTACATAAAGTTTGACAAGAGTCTGTATGCAGTGTAACCGGATTATGGGGAAAGAATAAATCAAATACAAGATGAGAGCCACTTTGGGATGGGAGAGTTGGTGGTGGACGAATTAAAAGCTGGTCTGGTAATGATTTGTAGTCTGTCACTTTGGCCCTAATGATGCTGTGCTTATTGTGGTTAATCACTGTACCACCACCCACTACTAGCAGTCTACCAAAGCAGCCAAATAAAATGCAACCAAGAGCATCATTGGATGTAAAAAAAAATAGTTGCATGCTCTTTTTTTTTTTCATTTATTCAATTTGTTAAAAAAAAAAAAGAGAGATGAGGAAATCATTTTAGATCTGGTGCGAGGCTTTGTCTCTGCTTCTGAATCTGAATCTGAATTTCTGCTGCCTGCATTCCTGCTTGTCCGACTAGGAGCGCTGACTTGAACTGCATGATGATTTGCGGTTATGTAATAAATAGTTCGTGCCACAGGAAGACAATGGAGTTCTGATTGTCATGTTGAGAAATGCATTCCAGTGCACAGAGAGCATCCAGTCACGGATTAAATAGAAACCAATTCACACCGTAGGCTAGCTTTGCTGCTTAATTTCATACTGTCTACTTTAAATAAGCTAAATATGTGAAAGTTCATTAAACTGTTGCCGTTAGGGCCCGTGACCATTCTGCAGTTATTATTCTCTCCAGCTGGATAGCAGTAGCCCGTTATTAGGTGATGATTGTGTTTACACTTGCTTATTTTCATCATTCTGGTTTACTGTTGTAGCGTTTGTTGTTTTCATAGTGCTCAGATTCATCGTGATCTATCGGTGCTTGAGGACTGCCCATTTGTTTTACTGCTCTGTATATCAGGAGCATCTGCTCTGTAACTGGGACAACTTTTTCATTATGCTCGCTTAGCGTTTCATGTCACTCTGGCTTATGGTCCGCAGCCATCCTCCACCAACTGCACACACACACACACACACTGCTTTAACACTGTGTGCTGGATAAGACACTTCGATAAACATCCTAAGAGTCAACCAATGTGTTGGATAATTGTTTGAAATCATAATTATCATCTCGTTATTACCTTAAGATAATTGTTTGAATTCTTGATTAACTTAATATTTAAATACCATTGCTTGAAAGTGAATGAAGAAAGTCCTCGCTCAAGCAAAACAATCTGTTAGATGCACTCAGCTAATGCACGTTGTCCATGACCTCGGTAACCTGGACACGATTTAATAAATAAACTAAATATTTTACAACGTCAGATTTAAGCATAACGGTGTAGTCGACGTGCCTTTGACTTCTAAAACTTAACCGTGATAAGAAAAACGGTGACTTAACGTATGTATGACTATTCACTGCATAAGTTAAGTTAAAGGACCGCTCTCACACTATTGTAAAATGCAATATGATATATAGGTATATAACATAACGAATGTATGCGTTAAAAGACTGGAGGTGTGGGGTTTACAAGAAATGTGCATGTAGGAAGTCTGATGACATTTAGGTAAATGTAGGATTCAGCCTATCTAGGGACTACATGTCATGATTTATCTGCGCATGTTGCTTCAGTTTTGACCATTTTGTTTGAAATCAGTTTTTTTTGCAAGTTTATGGAAGTGTGTTACTAAATTGCTGTGGTGCTCTTTTAACTGTAATTGTCAGTCCAAAGTTGCTCTAAT